ATGGTTCCATTAGTACATTTACTTTTACTGTGCTTTTTAGTTTATGAAAGCTTTGTATATATAAAAAGATATATGGTTCTCAACCAAGTGTAAATCCAAATTCAAAAGTACCTAACCATTACCAATAAAATATGTTTTAAACTCAGTGACAATGATCACTAGCAGAAGAATCACCTATGCTGATACTTTGTTGGAAAAAGTTATTATTTTGTAGTTTTAGGTATTTGAGCATGCATCTAACGGCTCGATTTCTTTTTCTATTTTATTTAAGGGTATGTACAAGCAACATGCCCTGCTACAATGACCAATTCATATTTTTTGTAAGCCAACACAGCACACTATTTTATTCAATTCTACAGTTTATTTGAAGAACTCTGATGTGATGCCTTTTCATCTATTTATTATTTTGTGATTGTCTAGGCTAAAGACAATTTTGCAATAGGCTCCTTAAAACAAAGTTGTTGCTATCAAGGTTTTAAAAGGCGAAATCGGGAATCGAGACGTTTTTTTCTAAACGAGGCGAGGCGTAAGCCTCGAGGCGGATCGAGGCGTAAGCCTCAAAACGATTAAAATAAATTAATTTAAAATTATAAATAATGACAAAAAATAACAAAATATTATGTCAACTATGAATTTGAAGATTTGTTTTAAGATAATATTACTGGAATACAAGATTTAAAATAAACTCACTTAAAAATAAAACATCCCCTTAGGATCAAGACCCAAAGCAGGCTCGTCATCACTTTGATTGTCTTCAGAAGAATCTTCATAATTAATGTCAAAGTCATCCTCAAACTCTTCTTCACCTATAATATTTTTTCATTTATCTCCTATATCAGTTAATATTTCATTAGCTATAAAATGAAATAATAATAACATACAAAATAATTCATTATATTTAAGAATACCTTTGAATTTTTTTGAAGCTTCAATCTCACTTTGTTTCTTCCTTTTATATACTTGGGCAGTTGCTTCATTATCTTCTTCATTGACATGAGTTTCTCCTTCTACTTCAACTTCAGAAACATCAGCATTCTTAGGAGTAACCCATTCATCATCAGATTGTAACTCATCAACAAGCAAAGGATCAATTTCATTCTCAATATTTCCTTGATTCTGCAATTTGAGATATCTATCTTTTAATTTTTTGTTAAACATAACATAAACTAGTTTGTTCATTCGATCTGCCGCAAATCGATTTCTCCTCTTTGTATGAATTTGATTGAAAATGCTCCAATTACGCTCGCATGCAGAAGCCGAACACGTTAGGCTAAAAACTTTAACTGCAAAAGCTTTCAATTCAGGATACATCATCTCACAAAACTGAGCACCAACGTTCTACATTGAAGACAAACATTAATATTTTATGAATATTGGTTGAAGTAGAAGACTTGAACATAATATTAACATTAAAATTATAATTACTCAAACTATAAAATCACAAGTGAGATCCGTGTTTGTAGGCCTATGTTTTGATTCTGGAACCGATCAGGTCGGCTGGGGTCAAGGGCAGCCTGCCTGCGGGGGTTTTCCTGAGTGCGCAGCGCCCCTGGGCGGGGGTTTCCGATGGGCAGCGGCCCTCCGGAACAAGATATTATTGATTATAAGAGTAATTTTGAATTCTGCACATACGGCTAGTGTGGCATTGAAGCCGTGTACGAGTGCTACTAGTTACCGCTCAGTACCGAGCGTGATTCCGAGTATGCTATCCGCTTTACATTGATTAACCTGCTCAATACCGAGCGACAGGTACGAGCATGTACTGCTCGTACCGAGCATTGTACGTCATCGATTATATTACCGCTCAATACCGAGCGTTGTGTACCGAGGCATGTACTGCGCTGCAGTATCCCCCCCCGCACCCCCGGCAGCCCCCCCCGCCCCGCGGAGCATTGTACCGCCGTCATACCGAGCAATTGTACTTGCATTGTACGCTGGCTCAAATACGAGCGAATGTACTGGCTCAGGTACGCGAGCGTGGTACCGAGCATGTAACGCTCAGTATCGAGCGTGTACTGAGCATGTACTCCTCGGTACCGAGCATGTACTGAGCAGTACCGAGCATGTACAATCTGATGAAGCGAGACATGAAGAAAATAACGGGAAGAAAGATCGTTACCTAGCCGTGAAAAAAGAACCGAGGATTACAGGAAACTGGAGAAGAAGAAGCGAGACATGAAGCAAATGACTGGAAGATTACGGGAAGAAAGAGAAGAAGAAATAAATCATTAGCTTCGATCGCCTCCCGTTATGTTCGAACTCGACCGAACTGTGGTCGTCGAAGTCGACGGAGTTCGCCTTTCAGTTCTCACCCGAAGCAGAAGCAAGTATGTTACCCTAATACTCGACTCTTATACGACTCTCACCGCTCGGTTTATATACTTACAAATCGAAGCGGTACCTCGTTTCGCTTCGAGGCGTTACGAACCGAAGCCTACGCCCTGTGTGAAATAAGCGCACGCTCCGCCGAATCCAACGAGGCGTAAGCCTCAACGCGCAAATGCTTCGCCTCGCCTTGAGTCGCGTCTCAGTGCGTACGCCTCTTCCGCCTTTTTAATCGTTGGTTGCTATTCATTTAAGTAAATTGATAAATAAATAAAAATCAATTTTTCAAAAACAAAATCATAAAATTAGGCTCTCTCAAGTTAGTTTTTAAAAGAAAATTGCCCCCTTTACATCTCTGGATGTACAGAGTTGAGCTTGCCAGTGGTCAAAACTTCCACATGTTGATGCACTTTTATAATATGACCAATCAAGATGCATATAAAAGTGTCTCCACTTAAGAACTTATAACTTCCATATAAGTCATGTTTTCTTAAAATAGAGTTTTGGATGTACGCATAAATATTTAATACACCTAGGGATCATTTTAATACGGTAGGTAGTGGCAAACTGGCAATCATGAACTAATCAAGATTGTAATACTAGTTAAGTAGCTTTGTTGCATATAAATAGGCTATCTCATTCCCTTATTTTCATGGGCAATTTCTTACACATTTAGGATTTATAAGTCCTACATCTTTCCAACCTATCTCTTAGAATTCATCTAATTTATTTCATGGTTTGAGATCATGAGGCTAATCCTGAATGACGTCATTCATAGTTACTAATATAGAATCTCATGACTAAGTTGGATTAACTACCTTCACAATTACATCATTTCAAACTCGATAAGCTGGGATGATGAACCCACAAAGTCCTTCGATATTATTTCTATATTTTTTTGGACTTCTTACCACTACCCATTACCCTTTTAAGTCCATCATACTCCTTGAGATATTCATGATTCAAAGATTATTATAGCATATACTTTCCATGTAAAGAGACAATCATATCATTTGGTTATAATGATTCATCATTTGCCTTGTGGAATGATTAGATTTAATAGATAGTTCTATTAGGATAATAATCTTTGAATCATATCTTCAATTTGATAATTAAAACAGGCAAATCAAAATAAAGATATATTTCGTTTATCAATAGTATCTCTTGGAGGAGTTCTTAAGTGTTATTAATCTTAGGGAACCTAATCCCTTCAAAAAATTAAGAAACCTATATTATTTTGATTTGACATGGCTTGACTTGTTGATATGATTCCTTGGGATTATTTTACATGGGCTGAGAAAAAATTTTCAATCCTACTTCACTGAATCTCCTCACGTATCTCTTCTTGAGAAATCTCCTATATGAAAAAAACACCTTACCATCACATTTTTTCCCCATGACATACCTTCCATCCCCATCTCCTTCACAAGACTCCCCACTTCATAGTATACTAACACCCATGCTTAAGCCCTTTTATCCCTTACAACCAACAAAAATAATCCCCAAAATCATACAACTCTCAGCCACTATTCATACCCCATCACAACCACACTTCGGCTAACCTACATCCACATCAAAACTCTTCCCAAATCTCTGCAAACCTTCATGAACATCAACAAACAAGTCTTTTCCTCCTACCACCACCACCACACTAACTGAGGTATCTCACGAATAGTAGGACATCACTACATGCTAAGATGCCATTAATCAACAACCATAAATAGTGTTATTTGCATCTAATTGTTGGCCAACCACATGAATCATTGTTTGATTATCATTTTGACATTTTCTCTGCTAATTACAACCAAAAGTGACATTTGAGGTTTGATATGAGAGGATAGCGGTACAACTTTCATCATGCATTCTCAACTTAATATTCCAGGATGTTTTTCTCGCTGCTCCAATTCAGCCAGTCAATTTACAGTATAAAATACAACCACTACCTAATGGTCAATCTTGTTTTTAATATATTTCATTCTTATTTTATTTTGTACTGTCTGAAATCAATAGATACCATACTCTTTGGCTGGTGATTACATGACTCCATCTAGCTAATAATATTTATGCCCAGCACGGAATCTACACAGGACCTAGCTTTTTGTGTTCTCTTCTTTATGTTTCTAGCTTCAAATATTAAAGTAAACATTGATGCTTTTTTCAAGCTTCTATCCTAATTCAAGGCAAACCTTTAAGCTTTTGTTTATCATGACAACGTCTATAAGAAAAGCTAGATCTGGGTCTGAGAGCTACATTGCTAATTTGCATGCAGTACTCTTGCCTATGAGCTCAATATATTAGAAAATTGACCAAAAATGTTCATTCAACATCTGGCGTCCCTCAAATGATGAAGAGCCATATTGCACCCAATTCAAATCACACAGTCCTCAAGGCCCTTTAAAAATTCATGCATAAAGAAGATGACGTATTGAAAAATCACATGATGAATAGCTAATCTTTTAAGTGCCTGTTATCATACTCACAAGAACTAAGACACTATACAAAATTTGAAAGCAAAACTTTTCAGGACCAAAAAAAGGGTAAATCCAACTTAATACTCTGCTCCCTCCCACGAATTAAATGAAATAAGGTCAAGTTTCAATTTTTAGTACAAAGAAATAACATTGCTCTCGAAGTAGAGGTGAAATAGTACATTAGTTAGCAATGTAATTGCGCACCAGACTAGTAATGATGCTACAGTAATGGCCCAGAAGTGGAACAGCCTTTTTATCAACTGATGCTTGACCTTGATCATCTTCCTCCAATCTCTCTATCCAAACAACTCCAAACTTATCAGCAAAGGTAACGAACAACCCATCATGGCTTATTGCAACTGCACTCACACGTTTGTCAGAGCACCTGTAGAAATAAATTTGACTTGTTTAGTCATTACCTCACTATTATCTATTGAAAATGATTAAATAGGTTGAAAGGTTGTAGAGAAAATAGAAAAAGTTGTACGTATGACAACATAAATTAGTATGGAAACTATAAGGGATGCAGCGAGCAACAATTAGATGCAAATAACAACTTAGAACCAATAATTGTTACAATGAAAGATGACAGAAAAATTTGAGTTTGATAGGAAATGGATGTAATTTCAACAAAGCCAAAGAATGACACAAGAAATTTATGAAAAAGAACACACAAGAACTCTTTTTTTTTATTATTGAAAGAACTAACAAGATACAATTGGATCTACAATTGGATCTTCAATTGGAGAGGAAGATCCGGCTCTCCCAAATCTCTAGCCGCCGGCTAGAGCCTAAACACCCTAAGAACAATCTAATTTCAAAAAATTCAAAACATAATCTGAAATCACCCCATAGTTAGCCTTAAATAGGCTCCCATAACTCCCTCCCAAATCAGCCCCCTTTCCCTATATAAATCTCTCTCAGATTTAAATTCAAATTAGATTTATTTTCATAATTAATTCCCTTCCAATTGTAATTAAAACTTTCCTAAACAATCCCCCTTAATTCCTTCTTTTCCCTAAATAATTCCCTCTTAGATTTTGAATTCAAACTAGATCTCTTTCCCTAAATAATTCCCTCCCAAATGTAATTAATATTTTTCCTAAACAATTCCCCTTTGATTAAGAACCCTCCTAAATAGTTCCCTCTTAATTACGAAACTTCCTAATTCCCCCCAATCAAATCGGCCGGTCTATCTGAGTCTTCCATTCAACTTGGAGCATGAAACAGATAACCAAGATCATGGCATGACTTAAAAAAGGGACAAAATATGGCAACCCACTTAGTAGGTCAAGCAAAAATTTGAGTCTAACTTAAATGTTTTGACTTCATCACTAATAACTTTATCCTAAATAGTTGGCATCGACTTTATGTGCAAAAAAACTGCTATGTTCAACCACGCAGCAACTTCCTTAAGTACAACACAAACATTTAAAAGCAAGAAATACGTGATAGACTTGCGAAAGTGTGCATAAGCATGATAAAATAGCAGGCTTACACAGTTCTGATACAGTGCCAAGTATCTGTTCTCCAGATCTTCACCAGCTTATCATCACCAGCAGAAACAAAGAGTCTTCCATTTGCACCAAAGCAGATTGCCCTAATAGCATCAGAATGGCAAGGGCTATAGGCTTCATCAGTCAAAGTAACAGCACAATCCATCCTGTTTACAACAACAACAACAACAACATCAAGCCTTTATCCCACTACGTGGGGTCGGCTACATGAATCCTTTTACTCCATTGTGTCCTATTAAAAGCCAAATTCTCGTTTAAATCTAATAAAGAAATTTAAAAAATAAAAAAGTGAAATTTAATAAAAAAAATTACTTTTTTCACCTTATCTTAAAGAACAATGTTGGGCTTCCAACCTTTAGAAAATCTTATGAATCTCCTCTTTCATGGATCAGAATGATTAACCCTAGCTTATTATTTTTCTGCTCTTGAGCTCTACCCTTCATCAACATGTATAATTTTATTTCCAACATCCAAAATAATTCCAAGAAAAAATAACTATATACTTGAACATACCTATTCCACTAAATGAATAGAGTAAATAGGAGGAGAAACAGTATTTGATCCTCTTGTCAAAAACATTCAGTGTCCAAACTATGAAACATGAAGAAAAGGAAAATTTGGTTGGTACTAGATTTTTTTTTTTTTTTTTTGCTTGGTTGGATTTAATTAAAAATCAATATTGGTTTAAAACTTGCTGGGGCTGGAAAAATCATTATCTGATAAAGCATTATTTTGGAACTAAAAATGAATTTCAAAACACACAGAGGGAGTTGAACTAACTACAATTTTAGACATAAAAAATTTATTTTAAAAATCAAACAAATTCCAAATATAATAAATTTACTTGCAAAACAGTTGTCTCATCACAACGATTCCAATAATTCCAATAGCACCAATATCAAACAATCAAAAGAACCCGGGTCGCACCACCAAAGCAAACTACCACAAATTGGATTGAACTGACTAGTCCAACATGGTCAATCTCTTCTTTCACACACGAAGGGGAAGCCATATGCATAGTCGATTTCAAGTGTCAGCATGCCTATGGCTTTTGTATGGTGTTATTTGATTTCAGGTGTCGGCATGCCTACCACAAAAGATTTGGACTTCTAAAAGTTATCACGGTCTCCAAAAACCTTGTTCCAAGAGTCACTTGCGATTAATGATTGTTGTTGATGAACGAATATTAAGATATAAAAATTATGGCCTATCATCATCATTTTATAATGATCCAACATTTGATCCATAAACTTTCTAAAAATTATTGACATTAATTTGATCATTGGAATTTCAATCAACTCTTATAGATTCATATAGTTGAGATCTACAAAATGGTATGTTTTGCTAATTGATCGAAGACTTCATCGACAATGGCCAAAGTAAGACTACCATGTCGGCCTAACCCTAGCTAGAATAGGTCAATCAAATTAGGGGTGTCAAAATGGGTCAACGTGTCGGGTTTGGGTCCAACGGGTCAGATTTTTCAAATCAGGGTTCAAACGGGTCAACCCAAACCCGACCCATTTTTGCAAACGGGTCAGATTTTTCAACCCGAACCCGATCCGCTTGGGTTGTTGGGTTGACCCGACCCGACCCGTGAAGCCTCTTGCAAACGGGTCAAAAACATCCCGAGCGGGATGCGAGTGCAGGTCAAATCCTTGAAGAGAAACACAAAGGCGGCACCATTTAGAGTGGCTCATTTGGAGTGGTTGAAGAACTCTTCTCTTAGCAACGACGGTGGAGGCTCAAGCCCTCCTACCTCTACATCCAGGCGCGACAATGGAGGCTCAAGAACTTTTCTTCTCTTAGCAGCAGCGCAGAGCTACACCCCATAGTCCCTGTCATCCCCCATATTACCAAAGCCCATCCATACTAAAATTTAGTTTTCAACTCCAAGGCACTTACAGAACCCTTTATATTCTTTTTACTTAGAAGTAGCCTTACAAAGCAATGGAACATGTCTACTTGACTAAAAAAGACCGCTATGGGAATAGGAACATTACCTCGTCCTCCTGCTACTGAACGTTGAAGCTTATCTCTTCCTTCGAAAGCTGCAGCTCCTCTCCCTTAATCATGAGCTCTTCCAACCTCTTGAGTGCAACTTTGATTGCATTATCTGGTAGTTCCGCCCTTCTCTCATCTCGCTTTTGATCCGGAGAAGAAGATGATCCTTGCTCAAACGTCTTCTACGTCCAAATCAACAAGCAGGCGATTGCGATTGTCCAAAGAATGATCATCGGCGAGCTCGCTAATCTTCGAGCTTTTCAATTTGTTTTCTCCTCCCATGTCGATCCCCATCAGGCCATGACCTCTTCTTATCTTAGCAGCGGCGGCGACAGTTGAGGCTCAATTGAGACCGGCGGATTAGCGACTGTCTATGAAATCATCGGAGCAGGCGAGATCTAAAATATTTGGCACGGGTTGAGGCTCAGCTGAGACCGACAGAGCTACACCCCATCGCTGGATCACAAAGGCACGAAGCACAAAGGCAAAGATGACGAAGCAGGTCAAATTGGGTCAAAGTCGAGTTAACTGGTTGACCTGAACCTGACCCATTTTTTTCAAATGGGTCAAAAATTACAACCCAAACCCGACCCGTTTAACAAACGGGTTGACCCGAACTCGGATTTTTCAGGTCAGGTTCGGGTTATCGGGCCGGGTCAATAATTGACACCCCTAAATCAAACCATTCTAATGGCAATATTGTCCAATTACTTTTGTATTGAAGGTAGTAAAAATCTAATATATTCATTGATGATTAAAATAAGGGACATTTATTCTATAATTCCCTATAAAGATCATTAAACCCTTTGAAAATCTATAAATACAACTAAATTTTCTAATTTGGGAGTTGAGGCATTTGTATAGAATTTTGAATTTGAAACCACCACTAAATATTCTTGATAGTTATTTATTGAGTTATTGGACTATCATATATCGCCTCGCATGACGCCTTTTGGTCATATAGTCCCTCACACCAAAAAAAGATTATATATGCATTCATTACTCCCCCCCCCCCCCCCCCCCCCCTCCCCCCCCCCCCCCCAACCTTCCCCTTCAAAGGTGGAGTTGCATTGCACCACCTAATATCGCAGCCTTCACCTCCACGAGAAAGACCATTATGGTTGTCCACAACGAACTCCATGAACTTCCTACACTGCCTAGCTTGCTGCCACTAGGTTGTGCTATTCCTACCACTGAAAGAATTCCCTCAATCACCTCCACAACTTTCCAACATCACTTCGACCACATCCTAAGGACATGTCTCTTGCTCTAGGTGGATTGTCTTGATTTCCCCCAGTTACCTCCATAGTCTTCCTACACCACCTCAGCCACTATCTTTAGTCCAAGTCGCCTTCACCTCAAATCAATGGAACAAGCCGATCATCCATAATAACCTCCCTAAACTGCTTTTTCCATCACCTTTATAATGTTTTGACTTCACATCTAGGTGAAAGGCCAATTCAATCTCTCAATGACCTCCATAACCTTTCTACGCCACCTTATTTACCACCTTCAAATCTTTTTTCCTTAACCGCCAAGAGGATGACAAACACAGCCAACTTTGCCTCTCCAAAGAGGATTTTCCAGGTACTAAATCTTGTTCTGTCACCAATGCTGAGGACACAAGCAATAGACTACATTCATCTGCATTATACTAACACCATCTAGGAGTTCTGAGAAGGGTCCTATATAACTCATATCTAATACTAGAAGTTATTGTTTCAGCTGGACTAAACCCCTCAATTTTCTTCTTTCTGAATCTTCCAGATTAAACATGTGTCCCCGCTCACCTTTATCTCTTTTATGATGTGTGGGATGTCATTCAAAGTCAAACCAAACGTAATCTCTCTGTACAAACTCGACTTCTAGCAAGCAACAAAACTCTACAAACACCTTCAAAATCATCCAAATGCGATGATTTCTTCTTTTTTAATAGATAAAAGGAGTGAATTGAAATCATTAATTTACACCTTCAAACAATCAAATGAGCCCCAAGAACTTCGAAAAAGGAATGATATTTTAGTTAGCTGCACTGCAAACCTAAAATTGCATGCTGGTAACAAAAAGAAAACTTACTCAAAATCAAATACTCTGAGTTCATATCCGAGCGCAAGCGCGATGGATCGCTCAAGAGGATGCACTGCGATTAATGCCGGAGCGGCCTCCGCCTCTCTGTTAATCTCTCCGGTATGAACTTCCTCTTCCATCCCCTCCTCCAACAATTCGAACCGATAGAAAAGGAAAAGTCTTGCTAGGGTTTCTAGGTTTTCTGAAGAAAAACTGGAAGGGATGTAGCTTCAGGCCCATTAGTCAGGGAGCGCGCCACTGCAGGGGCTTTTGGAAGCGTTATTGAGCCAATCGACCCATACACAACTCTCCTTGTTTATTGGTTGAGAGCTTAGGCTTCCAACAAGAGGTTCAGGGTTCGAGTCTATGTGTATGCGTTGTATGTGTGAGTTTGCTTTAAATGACCTAAATGTCCCAAAAAAAAAAGCCAATCGACCCATTGCGCAGAACTTCAATTCAGAATAGGAGAATTATTTGAATTTGTTGATTATTTGCTCAGTAAATAAATAAATACTCATAAAATTCTTCATTATATTCAGCAAATAATTAATAAATACTCATAATAATTAAATATTTGCTGAGTATTTATTGAATATTTGTAATACACAAGGCTCAACTTGGCCTATTGGTTGAGAGCTTAGGCTTCCAACTAAGAGGTCTTGGGTTCGAGTCTTTGTGTATGCGTTGTGTGTGTGTGAGTTTGCCTTAAATGGCCTAAATGTCCAAAAAAGAAAAAAATTTGTAATACTCAGCAAATCTAAATAGTTCTCCTATTCAGACTCTGCACGTACTCAAATTGAGACATATGATTTGATAACTATATCGTTGTAAAATAATCCTGCTTCCACCATTATTGCTATTCAATGGTCTCATCGACACTTTGATGTCCAAAAGAGATCCAATATTTTTTAGGCTCTCTGGTGTTCTTCCTCTTTTTATTAGCTCCCAACCATATTGTAATTTGCCAACTAAAAGCCCATCATAACTTTCTCTTAGTTGTCAATGCAAAGGCGTTAATGGCAGTTAACAGAGTCTTATACTGTGCAAACAATCAGATTTAGGTTTACAATTTTCTTATTACTTTTTAAAACAGCTTTTTAGCATAAAAATTAACATTTTTGTACTAAAAAACTGTTTTAAGAAACATAAAAAAAACCATTTCAAACAAAGCCTTAGATGTTAAATATATAGATCATATAATTTTGAGAGTTGTGCATATAAATCCCCTTATCATTCATGGAAGACTCATTGTTACCTTTACATATATTATATTTGGATTCGAGTTATATTTAGTTATTATATTAATTATAATTTCAATCATTAAAACTGATTGATAAATTATTATGATTTTAATAAATGTTATGCTTTATCAAATAAGAATTTTAGAAACCCAGATTAAAAGCCCAATTTTTATCAAAGTGCTTCATTAAGTTACATTTTGCATGTGTTGTCAACTAAAAAGAATAATTATTTGATAAATTGTTTAAAAAATATGCTGACATAGAATAAGTGATAATATGAAAAAATTTCATATTGCTTGGCAAAGAAATATTTAATGAAGTTTTAGTAATGATGACATTAATTAACACGGCTTAATGCTAAAAAAATCATAGCACTAAAATGAGAGAATTTTACATCTTAAATTTGCTCGAAAAGTTTGCACACAAACAGATAAATAAAAAAAATACGAGAGACATCATATATTTACATGAGAAAATCAAATATGAGCAAATCTACAGGCCTAACTCAATTAAAATAATTATATTATGTAAGTGTTGATTATAAAGATATGTTCGTCCCCTAATTCATATAAAGCGATACTACAAGAGTACGAAGGGTTGGTAGAGAATATGATCAAGTTGGTATGGAATGAGAAATGTTAAAGTGATTGTGACTGAGTGACTTTAGTTTGACAGTTTTAGTTGGGGAGTGGCTATCCAATAATGATGAGAGGAAAGTTACAGTCGAATGGTGATGATTCAATAATAACAGTGGTCCATCAATGGTATTTGGGTGGCGGCAGTTTAGTTATGGTGGGCTGACGATAGTAATGGTTTGATGATGCTAATAAGTGGCATTAGTTTGATGATCGAGATTGGATGATTGTGGTCTGATTACGGCAGTTGTGTTATAATAGTAAGGGGTGTCAAAATAGGTAGACGGGTTGGGTTCGAGCCATAGCAAAAACCCAAATTTAGTTGACTTGAATCTGACCCATTTAACAAACATATCAAAAATACCAACCCGAACTCGATTTGCTAGCAACCTGAATGACTTAAATCCAACCTGTTAACCATTTTTTATTAATTTTTTTTATTACTTATTAACTATGAAATTTATTATATTTGATCAAAAATAATAAGATTAAACACACATATAAAAAAGGAAAAAAATGTTAAACTAATTATTTTTAGGTCAAAAACGGGTTTCGTGGGTCAACCCAAATCTGACCCATTTGATAAACCAACCCTAACCCGTTTATTAAAACGGTCAACCCGAATCTAGATATTATTGGTCGAGTTAGCTAGTCGGGTCAATTTTTTACACCCCTAACAATAGTCTGACGACGACTCTGAGGTGGCAATCCCACGATGGTGGTCTGGCATGCTAGTTTGAGGATGGTGGTCCGACGATACAGCCTGGGTGGAGCTCCAATATCCTTCAAGCCTCTTAACTCTCTTGAATCTCAAGTCAAGAGTTCTTATCAAATAGAGATTGAAGAAATATTTATAATTTTTTTGAAAGTGGTTGCAGGCTCAATAAATATAAAGAAATTTTGGAACATTCCGTCAAACAGTCCTTATTGATTTCGTTAATGATGTCCTAGTTAAACAATATTGGTCTCTTTGAATTTGTCTCACTCAATTTGACTATACGCATGCCTGACTTCGAGATTGTTGGTCGTTTGATTAATGTCTCAAAGTTTCAAATCACGCTTCAAGAGCATGATCTGACTCTTTTGGACTCATATCAGATCACATTTGATGTCGATGGATTCATCTTGTTAAGTCATTCAGGTTGACTATGATTTTGTTTAAATTGGAGTTTGGACAAACAACAATTTAATTATAAAAATTTCTAATTTGAATATGCATCAAGATTTGTGCCAGGCCAATCTAATTTTTTATGCGACTGACAAATTATAAGATAACACATTAAAAATAAGAGTTATTCTAATAATAATAAAAAAGTTAGACGTATCAATCTCTTATTATTCATTAAGTATTTAATATTTTCCTAATCTATGTCAATGAATTGCGTTCGAATGAATCGTTTTCATACTTAAAATTATATTGTTTGGATTAGTAATATTCAGACTAATTTTTTGAACTCTAATTAATTTAATCAAATCATGATTAGAATACGATAATGTTATAACAACATTCGAAAAAAAAAAAAACTTAGATAAACACTTTGAACTAAATTAAAAAAATATATATCAGATACTTCTTTTTGTGTTAAAAAATATTTTGCCCTAATTGGTAAGACATTTTTTTTTTAATTTATTGACAAACGACAAAGAAGAAACATTCAATGCATATTTAAGATTCATTTGAGGCATCTTTTTATTATTTTTAAAATAGTTTTTTAGTAAAAAAATTTAAATTAAATTTTTATTTTTGGTACTAAAATACTGTTTTAGAAAGCAATAAAAAAGCTATCCTAAACGAAATCTTAGTTGTGCATAATAATACAACAGCAACAACAACATCAAACTTTTGTTCTACTATGTGGGATCGACTACATGGATCTTTTTTCTCTATTGTGTGTCCTATTAAAAATCAAATTCTTATTTAAATCTAATAAAAAAAAGATTATTTTTAATATTTTCTGATAAAGAAAGATCATTCTTGAATTAGTTGTGCATAATACAATAGATTAAATAAGCTAAGCCCAGGAATAGCTATCTTGAAATCATATTCGGTCAAACAGAACAAATCTCAAAGCTGTTCAATTCATTTCAAAAGTTTATCACCGTTGATCGGAATGACGAACCTCTCTCTCTCTCTCTCTCTCTCTCTCTCTCTCTCTCTACTTAAGCCGTAGGCCCTACAGAAGAGGGGCAGAACCCACCAAGGGCAAAAACAATAGGCCTAGGCCTGTTGTATACAAGGGGCCGGCCCAAGTGTTGGGCCAGCTGGACTGGTCCCTCTTAGATCGGTCTATTAATACCTTGCTCCTAATTAAGAATCATCTTGTCTTCAAGGTGAAAAGATGAAAATTGATGTTGCATCTTCTCGTACGGCTCCCTTGTTGCATCATAATCATGAAAGTTCCTCCATTTAATCAACACTTCTTTGATCCCTTCTTCTTCCTAGCATACCCCTTATCGTTCTAGTGGTTCTAGAATCACTTCAAATTCCTCAGTCAACATGGCCGGTAACCCTGAACAAGTTATGTGATCCATAATAGCTCTTCTCAATTGAGATACACAGAACATTGGATGTATGTAGCGGTCGGAGGTAACCTTTAACGATAATCTACTGCTCCATCTTCTATGATATCTCCTAAGAGCCAAAATACCGCAGTGCCAGCTTCTTCTTCCTTCTATTAGCTACCGTCCTCTATCTGTAAGGTCGAAGCTTTAATAACACCCTATCCCCAACTTAAAACTTGATATCCTTCTTATGCTCATCCGCTTGTTTCTTCATAATATGCTGAGCTCTCAATAAATTCCTTTTTAATTTTTTCAACACCTTGTCCATCTCCTTCAAGTATTCTTTTATTGAAGAAATTGGAGTGCTATGTTGCCCAAAATACACAACAAAAAGCACCAAGTGAGGTGGGTCTTATCCATACAAAATCTTGAATTAGATCATTTATGAAGCAGAATGATACAAAGTGTTGTACCAGTACTCTGACCATGCTAGCCACTTAGACCAAAGCTGAGGTGTCTCCAACATAAAATATTATAGGTATGTTTTAAGGCTCTTCTTGACCACCTCTGTTTGCCCATCTGTCTAAGGGTGGTAAGCTGTGCTCCTCTTTAGTACTATCCCTTGCAACCTGAATAACTCCCTTCAAAAATGGTTAAGAAACACCTTGTCCCTTTTAGACATTATAGACTTTGGTACCCCATGCATTCGAATCACCTCTCTAGTGAAAAATGGCGCAAATGTCACTGTTATATAGAGATGTCATAGGGGGATGAAGTGAGCATACTTATGCAATCTGTCCACAACAACCAGAATCATAGTAAACCCCTCAAATCAGGGTAGCCCATCTATAAAATCCTTGAAAACCTCTCACACCAGATTAGGTAGAGCTAAGGGTTGAAGTAATCCCCCTTGATC